AGAGAAGATAAAAAGGAACGACAAGAGAGTAGATTAAGAAGAGTGGAGAATCATTAGCTTGACTTTGAACAAACAACGAGAACCATTACATATGACTAGCTAGATAGAGAGCAATGTTTCAGAGAGAGATAGTTTGTCGGCCATAGAGAGATAGTGTCTTCACTTGTCGGCCGGAGGTGGGTAGGGTTTCGGAAGGGGGTCATTAGACCAGAAATACCACATTCTTCCCTCAATGTTGACGGCGGAGTAGTCACGATTAGTCCCATCAAGTCGTGCATCGCCGTCGTCATCAGCCGGAGGTGCAGACACTCGTGGCGGTGGGTTGGGCTTCGGAATGGGATCATTAGGCCAGAAGTACCACGTCTTCCCGTCGATGACGATGGAAGTGTAGTCCCGGTTAGTGCCATAAGCCATGCTCCGCCGCCCGGAGCTGAGGAATCTTTGATCCGTTGCATAGAGGAAAAGGGTACAATAAAAGACTTGGACTAAAATCTGGAAAACAACTTTTTTTTTTTTGGTAGGAAAATCTGGAAAACAACTTGTCTTCTCATCTTCTCACCTTAAAAAAAAACACACAAAATAAATATTATGATGTTATGAACAAAACATTTATGCGATTTAATATAAACATTTATGTCCTGAAAAATGCGTATATACAAATAATCCATGTAATTAATCATCCAAAAACACATCTAACTTCACAACAAAACCAAAATACATATTCTAATATCATAAAAATAGTTATATGATTGAATGTATAAGTACACATATAACTTCATGAAAAAAAATCAGTACATATGATAATCTACTGTAAAAAAGATATGTGATTACGTTTATATAAACAAATCTTCCTTCACAACAAAAATTAAATACATGTTATTATGTCATGAACAAAAAAATTTATGTGATTTGACATACACATCTAACTTTACGCCAAAAGAAAATAGATATTACAATTTTATGACAGAAAAAATTACATGTTTTAGTGTAATTTAACATATATATCAAAATTGATGACTATACACATTTTAAGTGATATTGAGCAACATTTAAGCAAAATACATTTTTTAACCATATAGCTTCTAAGGTTATTTCTAAACAACAACTAATTTTTGTAAACAATATAGTTTGTTTGACATAAAGTATTATTAGTTTTTCATGAAAACAAAATATAATACATATGATAATTCACTGTCGAAAATAGATATGTAATTACATTTATACAAACACATCTTACTTCACAACAAAAACTAAATACATATTATGATATCATGAACAAAACATTTATGTGATTTAAAGTACACATATAAATTTACCGCAACACAAAATATATATTGCAATTTTATGATATAAACATGTACATGTTTTTTTAGTGTAATTTAACATATATATCAAAAATTTAAGTAATATTGAGCAATATTTAAGCAAAATACATTTTTTAAGCATATAGCTTCTAAGGTTATTTCTAAACAACAACTAATTTTTATCTATCGCGTTTCCATCGCTTTTTTGTTTTTGCGGAAACGCGGAGAAAGTCACGTTTCCATGCAACACAGTTCATTATCATCGAATCATTGCTTAGATATAAATATACAAGTGAGAACCCTAAACCCTAAATAAGAGAAATGAAGGAGAACCCATGTGAACAAGATTCACCCATGATGATGGCACTGTAGTCAATTTAAGTGTAATCTATTCCTACTCTGTCGTGGTTGGTTCCGCCAGCGCTAGAGCTGTTTTCTCGGGCGCCATAGCTACTTCCGTTTGCACTAGTGCTGCTTGCTCTAACTTAAAAAAATAAAAGAAAGGGTCAAATGAGGAAGGTGTGAGGCGAACGAGAAAGAGACATTATTTTGTTTCTTTGCATGGCTTTGATCACCGAAACAATTGATTCTAAGGATTTGATTTTTGGGACCATGGTGATTTGTTAGTAGTTTTGAGATTGCTGGCTTCATCACCATCAAATAGAAGGATGTTCAAAAAGAAAGGAGAAGGAAGCAAGTGGGGGCTGGAAAACTTTAAAATGTAATGAAAAGACACACGTGAACATTCATCCGCAAGGCAAAAAATTCAGAGGAAAGGCAATGATGGTAAGAAAAAATGACTCTCTTTGTCTTTTCGTTCTACGTTTCATAAATGAATGGCTGTAAAGAAAAGACAAACTGAGTGATAGGATTAGTAATTGGGCATATATCATGGTTTAGGCTAATAGCCAATCCAAATAAATAGATATATATTTTTTATATATTTACATGAAAAAAAATCTATTTATGCTTTAAAATTTTAAAACTACACTTCTTAATTTATTTTTGACAACTAATTTTTTATGTATGATAATACCATTGTTTTAATGTGAATTAAAAATACATTTTTAATAAACCAAAGTTAAAATTCAAAAAAAAAAAATATTATCATTATTATTTTGTTTGAGATAAGTATGTATATTAATTAAAAGTTCATATTAGATAAATCTATCTCCTTCCTATTAAAAGAGAAGTACAATTAGTTAGAATGATTATTTGTTTTAATTTTATTGGCTCAAAACTATGACTTGTTATAGAAAAATTATGACATGTCTATAGAAAAAGATGACATGGTTTAATCTCTAATTACTCTTTTAATACAATTTTTATCAC